TGGGACAAGAAATTTGTGCGAATTTGTCTTCGAACTTGCATTAAATGTTCTGCAAAAGTGTAAAAACCTTTTGCTGAGCTGTCACCTGTTAGATAAAGCGAAGAACGCGTTACAATGTAGAGCATAGCATCAAGGCAGTGGAAGATGAGCCGGGCTATATCATAGTCAACTGTCAATCACGTTGGTCTGCGGCTGTCACCCATGGGGAAGTGGCACTAGCTGCTGGCATCCTGAAGTCATGGGGGCGGAACCCGTCAGGGGTCCGCTGGGAGGCGCACCACTGACGTGACCCAGAAGGTCGAAACGCCGGCGTCTGGTGCTTTTCCAGACTAGCCTAAGCCTTCTGATTGGGAGTGACGATGATGAATTAGTTGAACTCATTAAACATTTATTCGAAAATAATGCTGGTAAATTTAACATCTTAAAAACAGCACTAACTTTCTTAACAACTTAATACTTATCCATTACCTTGAGGACAGTATGGTCTTATTCGACTGACTGCGATACCTTCCTGACTTAGCAACTGCCGCACTTGAGACATGAACGACGAACTGCGCTCAGAATGAGTATAGAGCGGCATACCGAAGGCCGTCGTTGGTATAAGAAGCTAATCCCAGTTGAGGCGGTTATGTGGTTACATGCAAGCGTATTCGTCAGCGATGGTGAACAGCTATTTCTTGTGTCTTACCGACGGCATAACTCCCTTTAAATCTGTGTCTACTCTTTCTAAGGGACTCGTAAGCTAGATGGGCGTTCCCAACGATTTGTAAACTCGGGACTTCATCTCAGCGCCTATATGACAAGGGGCGGTCATTGTCTTTACCTCCTCGACTGAGAAGGGCGGATTCCATGTACGAACCAGGTGCCGCACGACCACCACCAGTCATACGTGGGCTGCGTACTCCGCAAGGACGCCCGCCCCTACGCGGATTCGAATTGGTGACCTTATGGGACTACAAGTCAGGCGTGTGAAGACCACTCGGGCACCGGCCGAAATAGAGACGACCACGGTTTTCCATTTCTTCTTGGTCTCTCCGAACGCGCGTCCCAAAGCATATTTGGAAGTGTGAAGTGGCAATTGTCAATTGGCGTACGGGTTTTGCCAGAGAAGTGTGGAATCCAATTGGAATAATATGCAAAATGTCCCACCACATGTTGCCATCAGGAGCCGGTGGGTGCGCTCAGACATCTCAGGCGTTGAAGTCGTTCTGAATCTGATCGTGTGAAACTGCGTATCCCAATGTTCGTACCTTCCTGGAACAGATGATGCTTTTCCTTTCGTTGAATATTAGGTTGCACATTTTGCGACTTTGTAATACCTTACTGGATTACAATAGTGCTGTTCCTCGCACCCTTTATATGGTCCGTAGGCGAACGTCCCGTTCAACTCCTCTCGGTGATTACCTGACGATTGCCCTTTGGAAACAAGCGAACCCACTGGTTGCGGAGAAGGGCGTATGACGGGACTGGAAGAGATTCCCGCTGAGTTCAAACGTGGTGAATCTCCTTTCCTTCTCCTTGATATGTATTGGATGAAATGCACTATACAAATCCCGAGAACTATACACTGAGTAGCGGGACATTTTATCAGTAAGGACTTCGATTTTACTCAGATGATACGCGAACAGATACATATACGGGTTGGTGTTTTGGCTATAATCGATAACCACACTACATTAATGTACTTCATTCATAGTTACAGAAACCTGATTCCTCCCCGGGACACCAATGGCTCAATGATTCCCTCCTTAAGACAATTCTGTATTTCTAGTTGAATAAATCTCCCGTCCGCAGCTGAGTGACGCTTCAATTTTGTGGCGCTCGGTTTTTATGTGGAAATATCTTTGCCAAACGGAGTTGGAGCATCCCAATCGGCAGCCAATACTCCACACAAGGGGAGGATAGGCTGTTCATCAAAGAATGGGCTTTAGACTTATTTGTGGAGCTTAAGGAAACCGTGTCCCGAGAGATTTTAGATATGGACAACTTAATCCTTGCGTATTGACGGTCTTTATAATGCGCGGTAACACTAGTGAAACTTATTAACAGAGTGCTAGCCATCGAAGTTTCGCCATGAGAACCCAAGACGTTCCGGCCAAGTCCTTTGACTACCTATATACCAATATAGTGCTTAGTTCTTCCAGTACCTAACCAGCGCTTTTGGACGTTGTTGATGACTACACCGATGATAGCGCTGGATAGACCGTTTGGCACCGCTGCTACCCTGATAGAGGATAGGCAACCATGTTGCGCTGGTGCAGTGTTTTTTGGATTTGAAACGGCAAACCTTCTGATACTGTCCTTTCTTTCCACAACCGTTACAAATAGCATCGCGCTCAGGTCATTGAACTTGACAGTGTGTGTTGAGCCCACAAAAGCATTTAGTATGTGATGCAGCAGCGGTGACATATTTACCTGAGACCAATGAGGCACTTGGCGTTTGCAATGGTTCTGATTGCCATGTGGTAGATGTGCCATAAGCGTTTTCTGATTGGTATAACTGACTGGAAGTAGGCCATTTCGAGGTGTCTGGCCTGTTCAAAGGTAACATGTGGATAGAGTGACACATATTCCAAGAAACATCGACGTATAGCTCGAGATTGAAACCCTGTTATGAATGCGTTTTGAATGGCGTATTCGCGTTTTTCCTCTGCCGTTAATGTTTTAAAGTTATAGTCCAGTGCCAGTGACTTCAACTTCTACATGAAGTTGTTCAAAGTTTTTCCACTGGCTGCTTACCAGTAGGTGGTAAGTGATGTGCAATGATCTCTTTTCGACCTTATTTGCGTAGATCTAAGAGTTCCGACAGCCTGCTAGTAAGTTCCACATTTTAAGGTAATCCCCTTACGTCAACTGACACGTAGTTCGCCAGAATTGAAAGCGTTTTGAGCGGTTGGGAGTCGACAGAGTCGAAAAAATAAATCAACTTATCGAGCCATTGGGTCCGTTGTTTCGCCGAGTTTCCGTTTGGAGTAGCCCTTAAAAGTTCTGGTCCGGGGGGTTCGATCCATTACTTGCTAAACAAGTTATAATGAAATTGAATGAAGCGAAACGCTCCGCATGAGGATTGAGTCCGCAAAGAAAGGTCTTTTTCCGCAAGCAACTGAAGTGTATGAGCTGAAGGAAATACGGATTGTATACGAGTACATTTCAAAGAGCAGCTGCGATCCAACTCCATAACTAAGGACTCCTAGGTGCTTAAACAACGCGTTCAACTAAGCACCGCGGAACGAGCGAAGCGAGGCGAAAGTTTGTGTCTGCGAACTGTTACGTAGTATGCACCTGAATTTGCCGTCACTGTAGAACGCAGCGAATCGATCATGCTAAACTAACCGTACCTTCCTTGACAAAACTGGTAACGATCCTCGTTGATTATATTAGTCAGGAAATCATACAGCTGCGCAGCCCTGCGCTTTATTGTTGAGTGCCATTCGCCCATCAACTCAATGCAGAATTAAACTCGGAACTGTCACGACGATCTCATTCGGTCCTTATTTCTATGAGCGATGAAAGTCTGCTGCTAACGCGGTCAGTTATACCCGACCATTCGTACGAATGATGAAAATTGGTTGTTTTCACATCTTAGTCATCTTCGATAGTCAGCGTCAGAGTTACCTTGATATTGTATAATGACTGGTGCTCTGGCGTTTGTCGTTTGTTTCTAGAGTGGGAATGGTCGACTGACCTGAACACGGTCAGTTGTTGTGAACGGCAAAACACCATGGATAAGGCTGTTCATAACCAAATAGTCTCCAAACTGAGCTTCCACGGAATTACTCTACGCTCCGGCATCCATCCAGTATCTTGTTGCATCGGGTAATTATCTATCGGCCTTATAAACATTCTTGGGATTCCTTGGGAAAGCTGTCCACTTGAACATCGCTCATGCGACTGTCACTTCGTATTTTGTTCTTTAAGCTTTTGTCTTCTACTTTCTCCCTATGTCACTCATTCTTATGGTAACCACTGAGTGCTCAGCAGGTTTATGTGGCTGGGCATGAAATGACTTCACCAATGAATTGTTCAAATGGCTTGTTCGTTCGACAACTTGACGTGTCTCGGAGCTGACGCGCTCAGTGTACTTCCTGCTACATCTATAAACCGGTTGTACACATGTTTCGGTTAACTTATTTCCGGACAAATAAATGGTTCATAAGCTGAGAATTCACTTGCTAAACCAATATCCACCGTCATTGTGCTCAAATATCGAACACGGTTGTTCGTATGCCTGATCGCTGGTGCAACAATTCATGAGGGCATTTCCGTTCCGCCTCATTTGTTTACATCACTGTTCCGATCTTGTTGTGCGACAGACTGAAAGTAGAGGCCTTAAGATAGCACCGCTCTCTTACCCTTAACGCACCTTTTGGCTTACCGGTCGTATTGTCGGGTTCCAAATCCGCTCGAACTTTGGCTTGATATTCACCATCTCGGGACACTCAAACCCTATGGTCCGTCAACATCCTGTTTACCTGCTCTGCATGGCATTAACGTCTATAGTAGGAAACTTTTTCAGCCTTTGCGCTCTTTTGGGTCCATTCCATGAAGAGTTTAGGGACGGATCTCTATTGGCTGTGCGTTTGAAAGTGAGTGTTTTTTCAGGAGCTGGTCAGGCCAGTGTTTCATTGTGCAGTATGTCTACATATAAATAAAATTTCGTTATCGCTTCGTGGTTAGGTTTTTTCCCTTGCTTATCACTATAGCACTGAGAGTTTCGAAATTCAATGCCTGCGGTGAACTAATCACACTCTGACTGCTGGCCGAGAGGTCAAGCATAAGTCATCTGGCATGATACGCAACTCGAAACAAATCGGATCAGTTAACAACCGACTGGAGAACCTCGACAATCTGCACAACCGTGCATCAGTGTGCGGTTCTTCGGTCCGTTGGTGTATGTATGCCATGGAAACATGAAGTTTCCTGACGATTGTCCCTGAACCCATTTTTCATCAAGTCTGAAGTTCCTTCCAACCAATAAGCCCTAGCCTTCTTATTACTAGGTAGAACTCTGGAAGAAATATATACAATGGGAGAAGGATAACCCTCTCAAAACTGAAGATATCATAACCATCACGAAACGGGGTAAGTTTCTATCTGCCTCCCATGAATGTTGACTATTTGGTCATTGCTTCCATCAGCCACATTCCTTCATAACCGAGATTAGACTGTCGCCTTCATCGAATTCACCTTAATTGAAACACCTACAAGCTCATTTTAAACCGTCGGACTATTACCTGTCAATTTCTCAGTTTGTAACTCATGTTTTTTTTGCATGCGAAGCAGTCTTCCCTTTGTCCGTGAGAAGCATTTTGTGCAACCAAACACCGGCACGCCTGTCTAGGCAATTTGTGAGCAGGCCTAGCTATTGAAGGAACTACCAGAGCTGAGTTGACTACAACGTCCTATCGGAAACGTGACCACTATATACTTGCTTCTGCGCTCCTCTATCCACATTCTGTCGTCTGTCCTTGTTGCTAACGATAATGTTTTCTGTTCTCACTCACGTTTCAATGTAATGGACCAAACTTAGCGTAGTTACATGGCAATTCGCTTCCGTTAATACCTCTCACAATAAGTTCATATTTCCTCTTCTTCGCTCCTTACTGCTACTTATTTGTTCAGATACAGGTGTTCGGAACCGTGTCGTTACCATCTGCATTCCTCTGCTTTCACCGCCTTTAGTCGATTTTCAAGAGTTTCCCACTCTTTACATCTCTTCCTGTGGTAAAGGTTTCATGTGACGACCGATGAACTGCTTTCTACTTAGAGTGGCTCACCGATTGATTTAGGTAATCACTCATTATGATCCACCAAGGCGATTACTAAACGTTACCGTGTGGTCCACTGATCAATTTACTATGTTAGCATCCATCGGATGGTTTGTTTTCACTCACATCAGCCAAAGAATAGGATGTTTTGTGGCTTTTCACACGGATACTTTGCTTTAGGCTGGCGTAAGTAAACTTCTTGTTTTCACCACCTGTTTCATCCACCTTGATACAATGACTGTTGTCTCGAAATCGTATCCAAAATAGCTTCGATTCAAATCCGGTAGCCGCTGCGTCGCCAATCCTGCGTTTCACCCAGTTGAGAGTTCGCTGCTAGCCTAAAATATCACACGCTTACTTGCTGATTCTCACATAAGCCCGTCACAGCCAAATTTTTTCTTTGACTTACTCGTTGAAGCCTCAGCCCTGAGGACACTAATTTAAAGTTTGACTGGACTAACCCTATTCGAACGGCCCAACTCACCACAAAACTCGCTCCGCTATCCCTGCTGCGCTAACGACTAATTTGCAAAACTGTCTGCTCATATTGCCGACCGACACCCTGTGAATAGTTGCATGGGGGTACGGCATTCCCTTCTTATAACTGGCAGGTGCGCTGGTCATAGCTTTGAATTGCATTTTTTAATCAACCGCCTCGTAAACGGATTCAACCGGTGTAACCGAAAATCCCACCCTGACAGGTTGCACTTTATCATCCTAATGCTACTTTAACCACGTCTATTACACGCATGCGATATTTTTGTTTACGTGGAACAAAATGCAATACTCTTATGCTCGATCAATTGGAATGTGCTGTATTTAGCTTGCAATATCGAACATTAACTAGCCAACCTTCGTTTCTTCTTCCTTAAGTCATGTTCGCTTACGAACAGTGTCTTCTCTGCCTTGGTCATCATCCGGATATTTGGTACGAGGCGGCTAGTCACCTGGAGCACGCCAGCAAAGTCCTAAGCGAAAAGGGCGTAAGTTGTTGGTTTTATCGTTACTTGGATACTGCACCTTTCTGCTTGCGTTATTTATTTCTCCGAAAACTCATTTTATCCTAGCCGCTGAACAATTATCTGCAGTCAGTAACTTCACAAAATTTGTTTTGTCTTTTATCATCAGACTACTAATCTTCCACACGCTACATTCATTCTTTTCATTAAGTTGTCCGCGCTTTACTTACTTCAACACAGGATTTCTTGTCCTCAGATAACCACTGAAATCTGTCTCTGTTCTCGACACAGCCATTCCGTCGTCTGTAATATTATGCACCTGCGCTGGTAACCGTTCTTACATATTGCTATAGTTCACCAGTCGGTTCTCCTTTCACTAGTCTAGTAGTAAGCATACTGTTTACAGCGTTCCCCTGAATGGGATCAATACACCATCACTTGGTGACCACAATTCAATCCAAGTTTTCACGTTATCGAATGTTGTCCACTCTCCAAACCGCATCACATGTCCGCCTTGTAATCCGAGGACGCGGGTTCGAGTCTGCGTAGGAGACCGACTGACCCTCCCATTATCCACATCCCGCACGCGATTAATGGCGGTTGCGCGACAACGAAGTGTCGGTACTGTGTACTGGCGTACTGCTGATGCCTTACTCTCCCAACTGCACCCTCGACGTCACTTAGCACTGCCTCGGAATCATGTTGACGTATCGACCCCTTGCCACAAGCCGTTCGCCATAAATGGGCTTTCGGTCTATATGATTCACTAACGGAATCAAAATCATTTTTCAGTCTGTGTTACTGCCGATCTCATCACAGTAGATACTCGCAGGACGCGCTCTTGCCAGTTTGCATGGGATCGGATGTGTTCGTGTTCAAATTACTCCTGGTTTGTTCTTTGTCTTCAAGCGATGGAGCGATGCTTTTAGCCCCTTGTCTAAACATGGCTGCAGAGTGTAGCAATGATCCCACAACAGCTCCGATTCACACTACTTCGCACGTATGCAAATGGGAATCAAACTTCATATAGAATACTGTTCATGTGTCTGAGCCTTATCTGATCTCTATACCACTGTTTCCATTTCTACTCTGTTACTTGCCTGTGCACGTACACTTCTGAAGTGTACATTTTTCTCCCTCATGTCTCTCTGTTGTCTGTTTTCAAGCACATTACGAAATGACTTGGCATTGTAAACTCATTCACGGGCACACACCGATGGAAGTCGACTCGAACCATTCTTTGTGTAGTCAGATGAATTTTCAACGCTGTAGATTTGCTCGAACCTAACGTCAAATAATCATGTGTTTATGAAAGGCGCAGTAGAGGATGCGTGCAATTGCCACTCGATCAAACGGTCGCAATTCGTTGAACTGGTTTTACTTGTACCGGAAAGTACATTGGTATATTTCTCAGAGGAAATAGTGTCCTTTCTGCATACCCATACTCCGTGCATCATACGGCTGATCCTAGTAGGCAATTAGTTTGGTTTCGCATCAGGTTCAAGTGGAACTATGTTCATTTGGATTTCACCTCACGAATGTTGTTTTCTCTTGCATGGTTCCATTGTTCCGTTTTTCGACGATCAGAATCGATCTCATACACGGGGGGCTGAGCGCTAAGACATTAATCAGAAGAGGAAGAAAGGTGTCTGATCAAAGCACTCGCTCCACACGGTATATTATGGCATGCATTTATTCGCAGTTTTAAGGCGATAGCTCCAACTAATGTTTATTTGTTCGTTAAT